GTCTGCCAATCCAGCGGCACTGTCCCTGACCTCCACGCACTGTTGAGAAGGCGTGTCAGCCACGACAGCCCCACAACATCCAGAGCCTTCAGGTACTCCGGGCGGACCTCGTCCACCCCCGGGGCCCGGCCACCACGGAGCTCTTATTATTCTTTTTATTAATATTCATTAATACCATTTTATGATTGTATTCATGCAGTTGTTGTGATGAGTGTGGCTTTTTGCACTGTATGTAGATGGATTTCCATGTTAGTGTTTAGGAGAGTTTCTCTGTGTGTGACAGTTTAGACAGCATCCAAAGGGAAAAGATAAAACAGACATTACCAAAAAGACTATTAATTCATTCATGATACGTGCTTATAATAGGGTTAAAAAAATATTCCAATATAGTTCTGAGTCTTTAATTCCACAAAAAAATCCTTTGTGTTTGTAATATAATAATGTATTAAAATAATATAGGATAGGATATTATTATTATTATCTCCACTAGGATTATATCGTATCACTCTGTATAATATAGGATATATCACCACTAGGGGGCGTCAGAATCACATGACCACCACAAGAGCGGTGGCGATGATGTCAGTGCAATATCGGGAACTAGCTTTCATAATCCAGCCTACTGGGTTCTCTTTATTAGTGTCGTGTCCCGGCCAGGAGTGGAGTTCCCAGCCCCACAGTAGAGATCATCCTGGAGTCTGCAGCTAGATACTCTTGGTCAAACCGGTGCTGATACTCAGGCATGCATTTCACTACTGTCCAAAAGTGGTGTCACACTGATGGTGACCTTTAAGGCGGGAAATATACAGCCAGGAAATTTAGCTTTACGAAATAGTTTCTCACAGACAAGTCAGATCAGGCGACGGCACCTTGAGAAATTTGAACAGTTGAATGGAATGTCTGTCAGCAGGAACAATCAGTTATTCACCACAATCAGTGCCATGCAGCTAAATATCCAGGGTACAGTATATACTATTCATGGAGGAGAATTTAGATTCAAAATTAGCACAAACGTTTTCAGGACCAAAAAATACTTGAGTTACAATGGTGCCATTTTTCTGGGCCTTTCTAAACCGGCGCTGATGCCGGACTCTCTCCTCAGTCTGTGGGTAGCGCTGCTGTGAAGAGGCGTGTGGTTCGAAGGAAAGTTATATTTTAAAGTAAAGACACTCACCTTTTTTTTTTTTTTTTTTTAACTTTTTTTTTTTTAAATAGCTGATAGATGTGTGATGACCTAATATTGAAAATGACATTTCACAATGACTGCCTAACTCCTCTTGCATTAACTTTTTATTTTTTATTTTCATTAAACAATCAACAAAAACAATATACACCAAAAACAAAGACAGGGCCTGCAGTTAAAAAAAGAAAAGAAAAGAAAGCAATCTTTCCAAAACCAATCAATCATTCATCCCTCTCTTCAGCCACTTGTCCCAGTCAGCCTCAAACATTTCTTCCTTCATTCTTATCCTGTAAGTTAGTCTTTCCATGTCTCTTATTTCATCCACTATCCTCTCCCATTGTTCCTGTGTAGGGGTGTCCACCCTAAGCCACTTCCTAGTGATGGCTTTTTTCCCAGCGGCAAGCAGGATTCTAGTCAAATATTGGTCCCCCTTAACCACCACTCCATGAACATGACTTAAATACAACACTTTACATGTTGGTGGTATCTGGTATCCTAAGATCTTGCAAAGAGCTGAATGGAATCCATCCCAGAAAGGTCGAATGTTTTTACAATTCCAAAAGATATGTGCATGATCTGGGTTTGTGTGACCACATAGTCTCCAGCATTGCTGATCTATCTTTGTTCGTTTACTTGTAATTTTAGGTGTAATAAAGAATCTAATTTGGTTTTTCCAGATAAACTGCCTCCATTCTTGTGAATGTGTTGTATTAAGATGGTCTTTCCACATGTGATCCCACATGTCCTCTGGGATTTCCTCACCCAGCTCCTTCTCCCATTTGGTCCTCACATAGAGAGTGGAGTGATTTCTCGATTGTAACAGATTTTTATACAAAGTCGACATTATTCTAGGTAAGACCCGATTATACGCCTGCATAAACACTTTAATAATTGGATTAATATCCTCCTCTCCCTTCTTGATTTCTTTATTAATAGTCTCTCATTTGTAGATATCTAAATAGATCCTGATTCCTTAAATGGTACAGGTATGTGTCTTTCATTTCCTAAAAGCTAATCATTTCCCCATTCTTTATTAATTTGCATTTAGCTGTCATACCCCTTCCTGCCCATTGCTTAAATGTGTTATCTAATCTTCCTGAATCAAATTTATCATGCCATCCAGACCATCTCAATAAGCCAAGTTCCTTTCCCAATTCTAGTCGTTTGCAAGTGCTTTGCCAGTTTTCTAAAGTAAAATTTGTAATGGGGTCTAATTCTAGGTTTTCGTTTTCTATACAGGGCAGAATCTTTTTTTCCCCTATCAGTGTTTGAATGGGATATTTATTACTGGGTAATTCAATATTTTTCCAACGAGTTACATACCCCGGGTTGCACCATTGAATTAGTGGACACACCTGCGCTGCATTATAGTATTTCTTTAAGTTAGGAAGAGACCTTCCCCCTTTTTCTTTAGATAACTGGAGGGTTGAGTAACGTATCCTAGGTCTTTTACCTTCCCAAACAAATCTAGAGATAAATTTATCCCATCTGACAAATTGTGAATTCGGTATGTGAATTGGAAGGGACTGAAACAAAAATAAAAGACGCGGTAGAATATTCATTTTTATCACATTGATCCTGTCATACAACCCCAGTGGTTATGTGGACCATCTGTCAATGACTTTTCTTATGAGTAGATCTAGTTCTTCATAATTATATTTGTATAAATTAATTAAGTTTTTAGGTATTTTTATTCCCAGGTAGGCTAATGTCTTAGCTTCCCATTTTATTTTAAATTCTTTAAGTTTCGGGGTTGAAGAGCAATTAAACATAAGAACCTGAGTCTTTTGTAAATTCAGTTTATAACCAGAGTGAGAGCCAAACTGTTCTAGAATTTCCATTAGATGTGTAAAGGTTTTAGCTAGATTGTCTACAGTAGGTAAATTAATACATCATCGTCAAAGAGACTTATTACATGTTTTCGGCCTTTTATGTTTATTCCTGTTATTGTGGTTTCCTGCCTGATCATCTGTGCCAGAGGTTCAATATATAACGCAAATAACGAAGGACTAAGGCAACAACCTTGTCTTGTTCCTCTCTCCAGTTCAAATCTTTCTGATAAGGATCCATTCACTTTGACACGAGCCGTGGGTGATTTATAAATTGATTTAAAGCAATTGATTGATTTAGTGTTAAAGCCGAATTTCTCCAAAGTTAAATATAGGAAGTCCCAATCGACCCTGTCAAATGCCTTTTCTGCATCAAGGCTTATCAATGCTGAAGGTATATTATTTTTATGTATTCTGTGTATAATATGCAATGTTCTTCTAATATTGTCATGTGTTTGTCTGCCCACCACAAAGCCAGATTGATCCTCATCTACCAGATTGGGTATAAGTGATTTAATTCTATTTGATATAATGGAGGTATATAGTTTGTAGTCTGTATTTAAAATTGATATCGGCCTATAATTTTGGCAAAGTTCTTTCTCTTTTGATGGTTTAGGTATTACCGTAATTTTCGCCTCCTGCCAGGAGGGGGAAGTTATGTTATTTGCAAGAAAACAATTGAAAGTAGTATGAAATAACAGCAGAAAATCGTTTGCAAACTTTTTAGACCATTCTGATGGGAATCCATCACTTCTTTGGAGTTTGTTTTTAATTTCCCTATTGCTGTTTGGATCTCCTTCTCAGTTATTTGATTTGTTATACACTTGTTTTGTTCAGTGCCAATCGATGGTAGATCTATGGTTTCAAGAAAGATTTTGATTGCATCCTGACTAGAAGCTGATGTTTGAGTATAAAGGCCATTATAGTAATCTTTAAAAATGTTTTCTATTTCTTTTGATTTGTATTTCATTTGATTCGTTTTTGGATTCCTCATTTTAGTAACACTGGATTGAACTTGCTGCTTTCTAATACGCCTTGCTAGCAATCTGGCGGATTTAGGGCCTGAGTCATAATAATTTTGTTTTAAGTATCTTGCTTTTAGTTCATTTTCTTGCTCGAGTAAGTCATTAATTTTCTTTCTAATTGTAATCATTTGCTTTTGAGTTCTTTGGTCCATTTTTCTTTTTTCCCTTTGCTCCAATTGTCTAAGTTCATTTATAAGTGTTTTGTATTCTTTCACCTTTTCTTTCTTAAGATCACTTGTGATCGATATCAATTTCCCTCTTCTGACTGCTTTTAATGCATCCCAAACTATAGCTGGGTCCACCTCCCCATTGTTATTTTCCTTTAAGTAATTTTGTATTTCCTTCTTAATTTGGGCTACAACATTTTTATTATTCAGTATTCCTATATTCATTCTCCACGTTGTGGCTTTCCGTTCATTATTCAGTTTTATTTTTAAATAAACTGCACTATGGTCAGATACATCAGACACCCCAATTTGGCAGCTTTGAATTTTATCTCTATGTTCCTCCTGTATATAAAAATAATCAGTCCTTGAGTAGACTTTATTAGTCGCCGAGTAATAACTATAGTCTCTCCGCAGAGGATTCAGTTCCCGCCATATATCTATTAGACCTGTTTCTTGCATAATGTTCTTTACTAATTTTGTCAGTGATTTTTTGTGTTTCTTTGTACTTGTTGTGTCCAAATTATGATCCATGACGAGATTAAAGTCCCCTCCACATATACACACACCCTCTTTTTCTACAGCTGTAAGGTCCAAGAGTGATTTAAAAAATTGTTTATCACTTTCTGGGGGGGCATATACATTTACCAAAGTGACAACTTCCTGTTCTATTGATCCCTTTATAACAACATAACGTCCCTCCTTGTCTTTTATTTCTTTTTGCCACTCAAATTGTATGGAATTAGACATAAGAATGGCTACCCCTCTTTTATGACTATCGTACCGCCTTCTGCACGCTGCCGTACGTCTTCACTCCGTTTTCCCAGTATACTCATAGTCTGTGAAGGGGAGTTTGGAACCGAATCTTCTCTCCTTTCTGTAATTTCTTAATAGGTGTATAAGCTTTCCGCTTCTTTAGTGTCTTTGCTGTGTAGTCGTGGTCAAAATAAATTCTATCAGTTCCAAACATCACCGTTTTCTTCTCCCATGCTTTTTTCAATATTAGTTCTTTCATGGTGTACTGTTGGAAGTTAATGACAATTGAACGTGGCGGCCGACCTGTTTTCGGTTTCGGTGCCAGGGCTCTGTGAGCGTGCTGAATCTGCAGGTCAGAGTCTATCTTAAACTCCTTACGGAGCCACTCCTCTATCATCTTTGCCATTGTGTTGTCCCGTGATTCCTCGTCTTCCTTCACACCGTAAATCCGTAGGTTACTTCTCCTGGATCTAGCCTCCAAGTCATCCATCTGTTCCAATAATTCCCCATGTTCTTTCAGTAAATTCTGCAGCATACAGTTAGCATCAGAGCTCCACTGTTCCAACTCCTCTATTCGCGTTAAGGCCACATCCATTTTCTCCTTTTGTTCTCCCATTTCTGCAGTTATTTTTACAAATTTGCAGTCGATGTCTTTCTTAAGTTCAGTCAATTCATCTCTCATTCTGGATGTAATTTCTTCCTTGACTGATCTTAGATCAGCTTTCAACACAAAGTGCATTACTTGAATCTGGCTGAATCTTGAATGCTAGCTAGGCTAGTCTGGGATGCCATTTCTTCATTAGTTTCTGTTATTAGCATCTTTTTCTCTTCACGGTTTGTTCCTTTACCTGAATTATCCGGTTGTTTTCTAGTCGTCACCCTAGTTGTTCCTCCGCTCATAGTGAGTTTTATTTATTTATTTTTTAATTACTCAGCCGATTGTGCTGTTTTTATATTGTACAGAAACATATAGTACAGGCTGCCTGATGTTATTAATAATTCTTCCTCCTGCCTACAGACTCCTGCCAGCTGACGCTGGACCCCAACACAGCACACAGAGACCTGTCTCTGTCAGGGGGGAACAGGAAGGTGACATGGGGGGCAAAGCAGCCATATCCTGATCATCCAGAGAGATTTGACAGCTGGGAACAAGTTCTTTGCAGAGACAGTCTGACTGGTCGCTGTTACTGGGAGGCTGAGTGGGAAGGAGATGGAGCCCAGATAGGAGTGACTTATAAAGGGATCAGGAGGAAAGGAGGGAGTGACTGTGAGCTTGGATACAATGACAAGTCATGGAGTCTGTGGTGTGATCCTGACAGATACTCTGTTCTGCACAATGATAAACTGACTGTCATACCCATAGAGCCCTCAGGCTCCCTCAGAGTAGGAGTGTATCTGGACTGGGGGGCTGGTGCTCTGTCCTTCTACAGAGTCTCCTCTGATGGACTGACCCTCCTGTACAGATTCACCTCCTCATTCACTGAGCCCCTCTATCCAGGTTTTGGGATTTGTAAAAACTCCTCAATGTCGCTGTGACGTGTTGCTGGTTCTCCTGGCAAAAAGGTAAAATCTCTGCTTTTTAACCTTTATAATCCTTTTTACTCTGAAATGCCTGTGTTCAGCGAGCTGAATAAACATGAAAAATATAGTTTTTCTCACTGACTAAAATATAACTAAATGTAATCCTGATATCCTGATGGGGGGGGGGCTTTCTCCCTCCCCTGTATATGTACATTTTATATATTTATGCCCATTTACTGTATTTCCTTCCTATACAATGACAATAAAGACTTTCTGTTCTGTCCTATTAATGTCCTGCTTCAGCGTCACCCAAAGCATAACTGAGTAACATAATGAAACCACAGTCTAGTGGATTAAGTTAAATTCACTTTATTACTGCAGCTGAACATAACTAACACAATGACACTGAATCAATGTATATAATAATCATTTAACTGGAGACATAACAGAAACAAAAAACACTGGAAAATATAATTATGTCCTGGTTCAGTGGATTAATGGACAACACACACAGGACAACACAGAGGGAACAAAGAAAAGGGTAATTTTTCATAGAGACAATTCCTCACAATGGCTTGTGGGGACTGACCAGCTTAATATACACTCAGAGGATGAGGGACCCGGTCCCAGCGATGGGTGGCAGCTCTTAGCGCTCCAGACACGTTGATTGGTACACAGGGTGGTGGTTGTGCCAGGGAATGCATTTGATTGCAGTTCTGCTTTTGCAGTACATGGCAAATTTGATCAGTGTCATCATTCATTGTATACATATTGCCAACAGGTATGGAATGTACAAAAAGACCTTTTGAGCCTTTGATCTGAACGATCACACTTAAGTGCTAGTTAACAAACTACTTAGCGTTTCAAAGCTTTCAGGAAAGCCACCCCAGTCTGGTGACACCAGGCAGAATGATGGCTGACGACCGTAGTGGAAGCTGTTTCACTGGAATATGTTATGGGAGGATTCACATACAAATATAGCTCACAATGTGAGCTATATTTGTGTGGAAAAGAGGAACTATTTCAAGAAAATTTATTAAATAGCTTTAGGTCAGCCCACAGATACAATAGGAGTGTGTAAGCTTTTGACATCCACTGTACACATATTCAACTACTGCCAGTGTTTCTTACAGCCAAAACAAGGAGGCAGGAGACACAGGGTTGCAGTGGACACCCCCAAAGGTATAGTGTTTATTTTAGGGGTAAAGGGGGTATATTTAGGAAGGCTGGCAACTTCCTGACGTGCCTGCGCCCAGCTCCTTGGTTGTTGGCTGAGCAGGTGGGAGGTGGCAGTCAATTCTCGGGGGTCGTCCTCCATTGTGTCTGAAATTTTGTGGTTTCCTTACAATAGGCTGTCAGGCTGTAGAGTCACACAGAGAGGCTGTTCTTCCCTGGCTTCAGCTCTGAGGTCAAACCCCTCACACCTGAGAGAGCTGGATCTGAGCTACAATCACCCAGGAGACTCAGGAGTGAAGCTGCTCTTCTGTACTAGAGGATCCCAGCTGTAAACTGGAGAAGCTGAAGTGAGTAGAGAATGAATATTTTACGTCGGTTTAAGTCAAGTTTATTTGTATAGCACATCTTCATACAAGAAGGTCATTCAAAGTGCTTTCCAGAAAAGATGACAAGAAATAAAATGCATAATGCACAAAGTAATAATAAAAATAAAATAAAAAATTTAATTAAGAACATGAAACATGACAAATTGCCGGTCCCATCAGGCTGTCATCGATCGTCGACCTTCGGCCTATAGGGTGCTCTGGTGACAGGTGCACGTATGTTCCACCATGATGTTCGTTATGGACAAACTGTGGGCAGCACAGGGATTCAGATCGGCCAGACCGTTCCTCCCAATCACACCCTTCCAGGTTTCACTGCCGCTACCTACATGAGCGTTAATGTCTCCCAGCAGAACAATGCAGACCCCACAGGGGGCACCTCCCAGCCCCCCCTCCAAGGTCTCCAATAAGGCCAGATATGCACAAACACTCAGACCCCGTCCCCCAACTCGAAGTCGAAGGGAGGTAACCCGCTCGCTCACTGGGGTGAAATCCAACGTTCTGGCACTGAATTGGGGGGCTATTAGCTTATTTCACAAAGGTCACCATTTTGAAAATGAAAGCGAGGCTGAGGTGGGATGAATTCCACAGAATTCCTTGTTGCTGGTTATGGCATATTGTTGTGTACCAGGATGTACATCTTATCAAAGACGGGAATGTGATCAAGATTTGTTTTTCCCTTGATTTCCTTGTAACCGGGACACTTAGAAACTAAGTTCAAAGTTAGAAAACACACTCTTGCAGAATCATGGATTTACAGCAGTGAGGATGTATCGTATAACCAAGCCGCCTCCTGCTATCCTTCCTCACAGTGGTGCTGAAGATTTTTATTTTCCATGTGAAAACCCATGATCCATTTGAGGTGAAGTACCTGACTCTGCTTGGACCTAAAATATACTCATTCCCCATTGGTTAACTGTGTAATGTACCATGTACGTTTAGTAATATGTAATACATAAATGATATAGACACCAAAATATACAGTAAACTGCTGAAATTTGCAGATGACACCAAGGTGGGTGGTGTAGCAGATACTGAACTAGCGGCTCAGCAGCTTCAGCGGGATCTTGATTTAATTAGTGACTGGGCCGACACCTGGCAGATGAAATTTAACATAGACAAATGTAAGGTACTCCATG